GTATAAGTATAAGTATAAGTATAAGTATAAGTATAAGTATAAGTATAAGTATGAGCATAACATATAACGTTTATAGTTGTTTACATTTATATTAATTGGAAATTACAGAATTATTTTAAGTGGACTTTGTATTCAGTCATTGAGAATGTTTTGGTTCCGTTTATAAAGCTTAGTCGCTTTTGGTCTGTCAGCCAAGTCAACGTTCTGTTTTGGCCGAGTGCAATGAACGCTCGATTTAAGTCTTATTTTTCTTTGGCATTTGTTCTTTTTGCTGCATGTTAATTTTATTGATATTTGTTTTTGTTTTAGAGCGCACGCGTTGCGAATTCTTGCTGTCTTATCAGTCATATGCCAAAAAATCATCAAATAATAATAATATTTTTCAGAGCTTTGCTGAAATCATTTGTTGGTAGAAACTAACTTGATAAGTGCATGCGTATGTGTACGAGTGCGGTAGCCGCACTTTTGCACGATTTGTATTAATAAAACAATCTTATCAACAGCTGGGGATTGGTAAATCGGCATGTTGCAAGAACACACAAAGGAGCGGTGCAACCAGCAGTTGCAAAGTTTGCAATGCAACGAACAGGGAAGCGAACTCGGCTTGCACAATTCGCGTAGTGTAGTCATCGATATCGATAGCTGTCGCTTGATTATCAATCAGTGATAGCTTTGACTGATAAGCCTGACTGGCCCGCCCGCCAGCTTGGCTGCAACGAACGCTTATCGTGCATATGCACACGCTGCGTATGAGTAATCGTTGAAATGAGGTGTAAGTATGTATATACCTTTAAAAAAATGACACAAAACTTGACCCATATAAAGGCAGATTGAACGCGAAAGCGAGAGTGAGAGTGAGAGTGAGAGTGAGAGTGAGAGTGAGAGCGACAGTGAGAGAGTAGGTTATGCATGGGAAGGGGGTTGAGGAGCTACGGGGTGGGTATCTCAAATATTGGGGTCAGCGAGAGCAGTGTACGACTTTTACAAATCGCTCCATTTAAATCAACAAATCTACGAAGCGTGCTAATTTACGAGAAGATGTATTTCATAACGGCTTTTAATTTAAATTTAATACGCAAAAGACAACAATAACAATAATATTAACGATTATAACGACGGCAACAACAACGAAGTGTTACGTGAAAGCTCAGCCATAAGCACCCGACCTGGGCTCACGTCTAACGCTCTCTTTTGCACTCAGTCACGCATGCGCGGCACAGAGCAATGCAGTGTAGCAAAAGCATTTTGCTTTATTTTCTTCTAAACAGCTGGCAGTCTAAGTACAAAGCAAAGTGAGCAAGGCAGACGCGCTTTTATATGATGGGTGGGCGGCCTGTGGGGCATGGCAATGCTGCGAGTTTGTGTGTGCGTGCGCAACCGGCTTTGACGCTCTTTTCCGAAAAGCAAACGAAAACGAAAGCGAGCGTAGACGAATGCAAAGTGGTTTCGGCAGCAGCAATAAGACGACGTGACGTCGCAACGTCGCAGTGTCGCGATGCGTTCGGCGTTCGGCGTTCAGCGTCGGCAGCTCCACTGTTTATGTGTGCGTCTCTCTGGTTGACTGCCTTGTTTTGACGTCACAAACTTATCGAAGTCAAATTGCTGTGCCTGTTGCTCACACGAACGAACTAAGTAATATATTAATAGTGATATACGTAAGAAAAGTTACATATTTATTCAGGTGGGTTACGTAACATAAACGCCATGAATCAAACACTTCCTATTATAATATACATATATTATAATATTGCTGAGTGTTAATAATTATGAATATTCTTAATGCTATAATTCTACACAACACGCGTCACCTTAACAACTAGCATAAGAAACATGCGTTTCTAAAAACTATGACATGTTATAATATAACTTTAATCATTTCATCCATCCGAATTACAAGACTTGCTTGAACACAGTAATTTGACTTTATTCGGCACACACTCGCTAAGTAAACTGTCTTGCAGTGACTCGAGCGATCGGGTTGTTGTTGAGAGTAAAAGTGATTGGGAAAAACTTTTGCTTTTGCTTTTGCTTTTTGTTGTCGATCGCCAGCTTGTTTGACGCTCTTTTGCGCTCTCAATTGTGCTCTCTTCCATTCTTCCTCTACCTCTTTCTCTCTTTTTCTATGCCTTGCTTTGTACGCATGTGTATTTGTGTTGCGCAGTGGCCTGACCACCACTACCATCCACAGGTAGTTGCTGTAAAAGCAGCGCAGTCAACGCCGTCATTTTGGGGCTTTTATATCGCTTTGCTCTCTTTAGTAGTGTGTGCGTGCTTGTGTGTGTGTATGTATGTGCCTCTTGTTGTTGTTGCTGTTGCTTTTGCTTCTGCTTTTGCTGTTGTTATTGGCGTTGCTTATTTTTCGGCCGCCGTTGGCGTCGCTGCTTTGCCTGCGTCTCATTTTCTTCGGCGCTGCTGCCGCGTTAAAGACTTTTTGTCACAGTTACAATTTACCAATTGTAAGCAGCGGACGCGAACGCGCAACGGCCTCATACCGAATAAAGCTCATATAGCTAAGAGCCCATAACGGTTCTTCAGGAGCAACGTCTGATACAAAGCGTCCGCGTCAACGACAAAGGCAGCGCCACTGTCAGCGTTAGCGTTAGCGTCGACGTCAGCGCATACGACTTGTAAATAAATAAAAACTCGCATATAAAATCTGTTGCATCATTGTTGAAACACTTCAGTCGCTGAATCGCGTGCGTGAAGGCAACACTTGGCACGACAATAACAAAAAAAAAAAAAAACAACAACAAAAACAAAAACAAAGTGCAATAACAGCTACAACAGTTCAAGAAACAGTGCGCGCAGCTGCAGTGATCACTTAAAACGGCTTCTAGAACATAAACAACAAATGAAACATGAGAAAAAGTGCTATGCTCAAAGAAAAAGTCATTGAGAAGTGAGATAAAATTAAACAAAGTGAAGTTTTACCAAAAAATGTAAAAAATTTCGAAGTAAACTTTTAAATTTTTTACTGTAAAAATTTAATAAATTACTGCAAACATTTCCAAAGAACAATTTACCCCAAGATAAAAATAAAAAATAAAATGATTTAGCGCCTGCTTAAGGGATATTTAGCAAAGTTTTATTCAGCCCGCCCCTCCCCTCGGCCCCTTTGCAAATTGGATCCTAAAAGAAAAGGCATCAAAATTCTACCCTCCTTCGCACAACTCAAAATGCTGAACATGGAATCGCCTCAGATGTATGCGGATGCGGTGCAAACATTGGCGCAGCTCGACCTGAAGAAGCAGCCGCAGCCGCTGCCGCAGCAGGCAACAATCGGCCAAATCACGCTGACGGCGATGTCCAGTGCACAGCAGCAACAGCAGCAGCAGCAACAACAACAACTGCAACAGCAACAGCAGCAGCAACAGGTGACAACGGATGCCAACAACAATGCCACAATTCAGGACGCGGCCTTGCTGGTCAAGCAGCACGCCATGCAGCAGATGCAACTGAACAACAACAACAACAGCAACAACAGCAACAACAGCTTGCTGCAGAAGCAAATGCTGCAACAGTACGGCACTCAAACGGATCTGGACGAGCTGACCACTCAGGAGATAACACTGGACTTGCAGCACCTTATCGACGACCAGTTCCGGGACACGGAGACCCTGGGCATATTCAGCGACATGGTGACCAGTCCGGGCGGATTGTCCGCCACGCTGCCGCCGAGTGGCATGGTCAGTGCGGCCGCCAAAGTGCTGCAGCAGCAGCAGCAGACGCTGGCCAATGCGCGGCAGCAGCAGCACTCGTACGGCAGGGCGGCGCTGGCCTACATGCCGCAGGCGGTACACTCTAACGCCACGTACAACAATCACTCGAGCGACGAGAACAGCTCCGTGGGCAGCGACTCGAGCAGCACGATCAAGGAGGAGCCCATCGATCCTGAGTACCGCAGGCATCTGCAGGAGTCGGTCAGTAGCCAGGCGGCTGCGGCGTTTATAAGCAACGGCAATGGACTCTACAATGCGTACCAAGGTAACCCGCTGGGCGGCAGCAACAACAACAGCAGCAGCAACAACAGCAGCAACAGCAGCAACAACAGCAACAACAACAGCTCGGCGAACAGCAGCGCGGCGCAGTTCACCAATCTGACGACGGCGAATGTCCTGGCACATCACAACCTGCCGCACTTGGCAGCCAACGCACAGCAACTGCTCAAGCATCACACAAAGCTGCAACAGTCGCAGCAGCACCACGTCCAGCAGCAGCAGCACGCACAGCAGCACCGCAAGCACAGCAACAAGCACGTTGACAAGGGCACCGAGGAGTACCGGAGACGCCGCGAACGCAACAACATCGCCGTGCGCAAGAGCCGCGAGAAGGCCAAGGTGCGCTCCAAGGAGGTGGAGGAGCGCGTCAAGTCGCTGCTGAAGGAGAAGGACGCGCTGCTGCGCCAGCTGAGCGAGATGACCAATGAGCTTTCGCTTCACAAACAAATCTACATGCAGCTCATGAATCACACGAATCCCGAAGTGAGTCGCGTCTGCCGCAGCTTCCTCAACACGAACGAACATTCGCTGTAGCTGTGATGACTAACCTGTGCGAGCGAGCGAGAGAGACAAATGGAGAGATGGAAGGAGAGAGAGAAGAACCGAGCGAGTGTGAACAGGGCCTGTAAATTAGTGTGATTGGGTGTGTGTGTATGAGTGAGCGTGTGCGAATGATTCAAATAAAACTGTGTAGGTAGCATATAAGTTCAAGGATGCAACGCAAGCAACGCCGGCAAGCAATTGCGTCAAGCCAATAGTTGCTTTGCTTTGGCCCAGATCCTTGACTCGACTTGTATACCTTTTACTTTGTTAACTTCTCTCGACTTCTAATGCAACGGTTGCTGCAGCTGTTTCTTCTACATACATATACATCTACATCTACTTCTACTTATACGCCTACTTCTACTTATATGCCTACTTCTACTTTCTTATATTTTCTGCGCTGCCTTTGGCATTCCTTCTATTGTACATTATTTTGGCTGGGAGTTTCTTACACTACTTTCTGAACGATTGTTACCAATGCGTCTTCTTCAATTTTGTACTTAATTTTAATAAATTGTAAAATACTTTTTCACATTTTGATACAAATTATATAACATAGTATGCATAAGTTAAGCCAAAGAAAAGAAAATGTTAAATATTTAAAAACATATATATATATATATATATATGTATATATGTATATATATCTATACCATATACTGTATCATATATATGGGTATGTGTATAAATAAAGCAAGCAGGAAAGAAAACAAAAAATACAAAAGGAAAACAAAAACTAAATCAAAAGAAGAATCATACACTAAAAATACCTATTTATGTAAATCTATTTAAATATACTAAGAACAACAACAACAATAACACTCGGTGTGCAGCTTGCGCTATGCTTTTGATCCGCCACGCCCCTCTTTAGTTGTCCACCAAGGAGAACGTTTTATTAGCAAATCCTTAGCTTTAAGCTTTAAACAGTTTCAACTGCTTTTGTTGCACAGGACAATGAGAAACCCCCAAAACAATTAATTAATATGAATGTGTATAAATGTATAATTATTGTTACCTAGCAAATTCAATGAGAATTCTTACGTATATACGAATATCTAATGAAAACAAACGAACCACAAAAAAAAAACAACCTGAAAGAAAGCAGATTATTGCTTAGAAGCGTAGTAGATGAAAATGCTATTAATTTGTAAGGCCAACGCAATGTTCTCATTTTAATTTATAAATCAAACGATAAAGAAACAAAACACACTGTAAAGCGAGTATAAATAAATTTTAATAAAATTTGTATAGAAAAAAATTGCACTTTTAATTGAACAAATAGTAATATTTCCCTCTTTTATTTGAAAAGGGCTTACAAAAAAATAAAAAAATAACAGAAATATTTCTCAGTTTTTTTATATTTATTTTCTAGGTTTAAAGCAAGTGAATGATGTGGATTTTGTATGCCTGATATAATGTATGTAACCGCACCCATGAGAAAGAAGCGAGGCAAACTCGGTAAAATACTACTCTGAACCCTTCGAAAAATTGATATTTCACAATAATTCTTCAAAAATTCTTACAACAAAAACCGGAATTATATAAAATATATCTAAATCTACGATTGAAATTTGGAAGCACTAGCTCTAAAGGTGTAGGAGATATAATTAAATGACTAGCTTTCGACAAGGTTTTAAATCGATAATAAAATATCGGAAAGAGTTATCGATTTTTAGAGAAAAGCTCGAAATGCGCGTAGATGGAAAAATTTCGACAAGGTTTTAAATCGATAATAAAATATCGGAAAGAGTTATCGATTTTTAGAGAAAAGCTCGAAATGCGCGTAGATGGAAAAATTGTATATCTACGCCTACTAGGGGCGTGGCAAATCGGACCTGAAGATATAGCGAGTTTTCAAATTCTGCTATATTTTACGCACTATTGATGCAAGGGACCTGAAATTTTGTATATATACGCAGGTTGACCTCCCAAGTCCAACGTCTCCGCAAAAAAGGAGCGTGGCAAACCGCAAAAGTTTAAATATCCTACAGCTTAAGAACTAGAAGCTTCAAATTCGGATAGTTAGGTTACTAGTAATCTCCTCAATCGATGTCTCAAAAATAATTGTTACGCCTATTTGGGGGCGTAGCATATTGAAAAATACCCTGTAATTTTTTAATTTTTTGAGTATAAGCATCCCAATTTTGCAACGTTCTTACTTGTTTAGTGTTGATTATAACACTCTTACTGGTGTTTTAGGTTAACAAATTTTACTTATTTATTTATTTATTTTGATAACGTCTTAGGAACAAATTCGTAAATATATTAAATACATGCTTATTATTGTTAAATGTTGTATTTGTATATTCATTTGAGATATGTGATGAAAAATGTTTACAATTATCATTTTATATTGCACTTTGGATGACTTTTAAAGTCCCATTATCTAACTAATTAAAATCAATGCTGCGTGTTGTATTTTATTTTTATACTCATTAACGAAAAAGAATTATATTGTATATTGGTTTTGTGAAATGTCCGTCTTGTGCGCTCGTATGTCCGTATGAACGCAGTTTATTTCGGCGCTATCGAAGCTAGAGACTTGAAATTTGGAACACATACTCGTGCATATCTCCGATTTTTAAAGTGTTATTTGTCCCGATTCACCCACTAGGGGCGTGGCAAATCGGAAAATGCATTTTCTGATTTGCCTGAAATCATATTAGTTGAAGAGCTAGAAAGCTGAAATTTGGAATGTAGATTCGCACCGACCACCCAAGTCCACGAGCTATGGCGGATATATCTCTGCCCACGAGGGGCGTGGCAATCGAATAAAAAAATTACTGATTTGATGTGAATGAGTATTCCGCAGTCGGTAACGTCTTACTGCAACGTTCTTACTTATTATACTCTGAAAATAAGAAATTAGGGTATAAGGGTTCTGTTGAAATGTACGTGACAGCTGAGTCGATATGTCCCTGTCCGACTGTCTGTCCGCAGTCTCGACTACAGCTTTGTTACTTGTTATTATTCACTTTATTTATGTCTAGTTTTCAGTTCTAGAGTCTAGTCTAGTTTCAAGTTCTCATTTGAAAACAAGTAAGAAGGATTTAGTCGAGACTGCTCGACTAGTAGATACCCTGAACCTCCAATCTGATATTCTAATCAGTCTGTACTTCTATTATACACATACACATACATACACATGCACTTATAAAAACGCGCTCTGCTATCTGCGCAGTAAGCAGCAACCTTGAACATATGTATGTGATGGTGAAGGGGTGGAAATAAAGGTGGGGGTAAATTTTTAGCAAGAACTTAAATTGTATAAAATGCATCTTAATATATATTTTAAATTTGGAGACTAGCTTTAAAGATGTAGGAGATATAATTTTATAAGTTATTTTCGATAAGGTTTTTTATCAAAAACAAAATAACGAGATGAGTTCTCGATTTTTAGTCATAAACTTTTGAAGAGTCTAGCTGTTATTTAATTTTATTTTAGACGAACAGACGAACAGTGCCAAATCGACTCAGCTCGTCGCTCTGATCAAGAATATATATTCTTTGTGGGGTCTGCCACGCCTCCTTCTGGCTGTTACATACAATTCAACAAAACCATTATAGCCCATTGAAAATGGAAATGGGTATAAAAAGAAAAAGATCGTTTGCTTGCAGAGGCTCGTTCCCTTTGTGGGATTTCAAGATGCAGCAGTTGAATGTGCTTCTGCTTTGGCCAATTGCAATTTACCACAGCTAAAGGGGCGGCTGTTGTAGCTAGATGTGGCGAAAATCAGCTTGCCAAGAGCACAAAGCACAAAATTAAAAATACAAAGTGCTGCGAATCAAATGTCTGCCATATTCAGGAGGCAAAGCATACACGAAATATGCTGAGATGGGGCTGGGATCGTCTGTCTGCAGATGGGACGGCGATAGCGGCGGGGCAATGTATGGGCTAGCACCGCGACAGTTTTGCCCCACAGGGCAGCGTCAGAGGTTGGCACGGATGCTTTTTGGGGGCATATGAAAGTTTATATGCGTGTGTGGACGTGTGGGTAATGCCTAGACAATTGCCAAGACGGCGGTGGCTTGGTGGCGCATTGACACAATTTGACAGTTAGACAAACCCGAAACGAAGAGCAAATTTATAAACGACAAGCAGCAAAATTAATGCAACTGAAAAGACAAATTAATGCGCAGTGAAAGCCAAACAGCAGCAGCAACAACAGCAGCAGCAACAGCAGCAGCAACAGCAACGCGAGCGAATGCAGCGCATGGCGCGGCTTAGTCAGATAATCACTTAAAACTTTTGGCTAAGCCCTTTTTGGAGACCTCGGGCCCAAAAACAAAAAGCTTGTATAAAAAACTAAAACTTTCATTTGGGCTGCGTGTGCTCAATTTGTCTAGGCTGCCCTTTACCCCACCTCGATGTGCCCCTCCTCTGCCCCACGCCACTCTACAGCTACATTGCTGCTGGAGCTGCATTGTTGGCCGCTTTGATTGATGACAGCTAATTGCAGCCTCCAAACGAAAAAAGAGAAATTATCGGTGTGGGTGTCTCCCCCCCTTCTCACTCCCTCTCCCGTCACCTACTTGCAACGGTAGCTGCGTGCAGTATCATGTCAAACTGAAAAGGGTTCTAATCCGCTTAGAAAGGTGAAAGCGAGTGCACTGCGGCGAGTTACCTAAGTTACTCGATGCGTGTCGCCTTGCCAAAGGCCCATCTGTCTCATCCTGCCACATGTCGTGCCAATAAATTGACGCACAATTACTGCTCAACTAGGCGCCAACAGCCAACAGCCAAGAGCCGAGAGCCGAGAGCCGAGAGCCGAGAGCCGAGAGCTGAGAGCACTACACGGTGTGTGAGTTATGAGTGCCAAGTGATAAATTTGCAACAAGCGGCACATAAATTCATCTTTGCACATTTTAATTTTTTCTGTTCACGGTATTTTTTTTTCGTTGAACACATTCAAATTGGGAAATCAGTGTATAATGATTTTGTTAAAATGTATGTAACACAAAGTATACATATTCTTGATCAGGGCGACGAGCTGAGTCGATTTGGCCCTGTCCGTCTGCCTGTCCCTCCATCCGTCT